CATACACAAGATGTAAAATTTCATAAAATGTCCTCATAAAAATACTTACAGAAAAAAAGGCTGGATGAATAAAAATTAAAAAAAAAAAAAGGGGGCTGGATGGAAATAAACCAAAATATTAAAATGGCTGCCTCTGGAACATATACGTTTGTATATACTTTTGATTTTATTTATATTTTTCTATTATCTCTCAAATTTTCTACAATGAATATTATTTTCTAAGGAAAAAATATACAAGTATACCTCTAAGGTACTGGAGGTTTCAGTTGTAGAATTTCCAGTATTATTGCTTGAGTTTGAAGACACTGTTTCATTTTTGCTTTCATTATCTGATTTTTCATCGGAACTCATACATTCAATATCTGCATCAAAGCCTGTTGGGTATCCCATTGCCTGCAATACCTGTACAAATTACATTAAGATTCAGTTCTATTCAAACAACAGACACCACAGAGAACAGGTGAAATACTGAGAACAACAGTTTCAAACCCACAACATTTGAATCCAAGAACTACCTTATAAGAAAAGCAAGACGGTACTACATCTGCAAATCCTTGGTTTTACCTACCAGGTAACACCATAAAAATGGGAAAGCCTCCTCAGGGTAATTAGGATTAAATAAAATATGTCGGAAATGCAAACCCAAGGTTGCTCCTGGTTCATTTAATTTGGCATAAGAGATTGAGAAAATAAACAGCATAGCCAAGTTTAACCAATGAGGTGAGGGGAAAAGTAAAATAGACCATTGTAAAAAGAACATTGGACTAGAAAGGAAAAGACATGAGGGTCTAATCCTATATTTCTCTGCTGGTCCTCAATTTTCCAATTTGCAAGACAGGAAGACTGATTAGTCGACCTCTAAATTCTATGATTCAACCCACTAGGAGAAAATAGCACAGAAAGGCAATCAAGAAGTTTTCTTTACCTTGGAACCAATTTTCTGGTGAATTACAAAATAACATCTGAAGCTTTCTACTACTGACCTCTCTGCTTTTAACTGAAACCATAACTGAGACCTGAAAGAAAAGATTCAATCTCTAGGTTTATTCTCTCTACAGAGTGAACCAGGAACATTTTAGGTTTGTATTTCCATCCCTTCCTCACAAGGCTTGGCTTCCTCCAGTGTTCATTCTTCTTATAGTTCCATTCAATACCTGGCATTTCTCATCTCTTTTAAAATAAGGTTTTCAGAACTGTGTGTGTGTGTATGTGTGTGTACACACACACATACACACACACACACAAACACATGCAGGCATGCCTTTTAAAAACCTCCTTCCAGATTATACTGCTTTTCAGTTTACAAGAGAATATGTTCACCAGCATTTTTATAAGCCTCTTTTAAACATGGTGATATTGCATTGTCAGTTACTAATTTAAAGGTTTATATCGGAAAAGATAGAGATAGGTTCCTAAAGAGCCCTGTATTTATTTTAGCTTTGACTAATGTTTTAAATTGCTGGAATGTAAAAGCACATCATATTTCTTTACAATCCCAGTTGTAAAGACACCTAACAGGTGTCTCTCAGAAAACTATTCTGAAAACTTTTTAGAGGATGCCAGGGGTTGGGGACCTGGGAAGGAGATTCAGTACAAAGGGACATGAGAGAACTTTATGAGTGAGAGAAACGTATTTTGACCAAGGTGGTGGTTACATGATTATAAACATTTGCCAAAACCACGTATCAACAAATGATTAATTATACTGTCTATAAATTATACTTCAATAAAGTTGGTTTGTAAAAGACCAAAAATTAACTATTCTGATAATCACACAAATGGCCAACCAGCAGCCCAGCCTTTACAAACAGAATACTGTTTTATTTATGTTGGTAGTCCGTCATAGAAGGTGTCACCTGATGTCATCCTCTATGAAAGACTACCAATATAAATAAAATAGTATTCTCTAAACAAAAATAGAGACTGAGAACTCTGTAGCAGAGAAAATTCATTCACCCGCTTCATATGGAAAAGCTGGCATTCTGCTGAACACTTCACATCACAAGTAAATCCCTTGTAATTCACTGGGAATAAAGCGAAGGGGCCCTTTTTGAAAGCAGCCCGAGTTCTAAAAGCAGCCGGGCAGCTCGTTACACTGAGCACTCCTATCGCTCATTACATGGTCATCAGTGTTCCTACAGAAAGCACCTGCTCCACTGCCTCCAGCGAACACTCTACCTGAGAAATCGCATCTCTGAGAGAACAGTCACTGGTCTGGAATTAACACTAGCTAACAAGCTGCAAGTCAGAAGCCAAGAGTCACAAATAAATCTGATTTGTTTATTCCAATAAAAACTAGAGACATGTAGTTTCTCCCAATTTAAGTTAAAATAGCCTCATGTAAATTACTTCATACCACTTCTCTCTGCCCTTTTCTCACATATCAAGTTCACTTATTCACTTGTTATTATAGTAAGATATTTCAATACATTTATAAATAGCTTATATAACTGATAGATAATATCAAGGGATACAGTGTACTTGCAATGCAGTGCAACTGAAAAAAATTCAAATTAAGTCATTTTCTATGACTACTTAATGCAAAGATTAACTAGTATATGCTATAAAAGTAAAAAAGTAAAAAAAAAAAAAAAAGTGAGGAGTTCTCAGACCTCAGAACGAAAGTTTGTTCAGAATGAAAATTAAGGCCAAAAAATTGCTATACCAAAGAAGGTGAGTTTCAAATGTCTAGCAAACAAATCCAACCTACTAAATACATCAGATGAACTGAAATTCCCAAGATGATTCCTGGAAACTGGGTGACTGGGAAATCCAGGGTAGCTATGCCTTTTTTCTCATGAAAAGGGGTTGAGACTGAGAAAGATGACCCCCTGAAAGACTAGGGGCCAAGAGTGGAAAGAAAACACATAAAAACACATTCTACCCCATGGCTCTGCACTCCAAGTCACATTCATGGTTTGTGCCTGACAGAGATCTGATGGCTCCAAGAACCTCTCCAAAGTCTTGTGCCCCCTTCTAACTGATCTTTTCCCCACAATGAGTTAAGATTCTTTCCATGAAATACGGCTGATTTTGTCCCTAAAGGTGCTCTCTGTGAGGGCCTCTCAGGAGAAAAAATTGGAAGTGGAAAGGGAAGATTAGTTGCTGTAGGTTGTCTGCTGCTGAGCAGCCAGGCTCTTGTGGCAGAAACTGATCTCTTCTTCTTTTGTCTTGATGCTATGACGTGATTTGTCTTAACAGGTACAGACCCTACCAAGCTGAGTAAGAAATGCAAGGCATTTTTATCAAGTGGGACCTACTTTCACAAACATATGTAGGATATAAAACTCTCTCAAACTCATACAGTACTTGTAACTGGTATAACCTTATGGATGGCACTTTGGCAATATATGCCTGACATCAATAGAAATCACAATACCTATTTAATGAATTAATGGATCATTCACATGGGCTTCCTTCTTGACCTAGTAACTCTACCTATAGAATACATCTTAAAGGATAATCATACTAGTTCAAAAAGATACAAAGCAATCAACAGGAAGCATCTACATCTAAAAGGATTAGTGACACTGTGGTGGAATGATGATAATGAAATATTAGGCCATCAGTAAACATGAGAACAATCTTTGTGGTAACTATAAAAAACTCAATATATTTTTAGATGAACAAAGAAAGCATGATCCTATTTTAAGTATATATTTTGTAGGTCCCATCATTCCTTACCTGAGACCCTTGGGTCTAGGTTGTTTTGAGAATTTATAACTTTTCAGAGTTTAGAAAGCTACTACAATATATTTACCATGTATTTTCCAAATCTCCAGTGGTATCTCAGGTGCTACCCCATGTTTGGGCAAAGTAACATGGAAAACATTCACACAAAATAGAATAATAAAGATTAAAAATAGCCACCCATCAACTCAAGTCAGGTTTTCCCATTAAGTGAGTGTCCATCAAACTTAGGAAAGAATTTTTTATTATCAGTGCTTTTTGGATTTTGAAATTGCAGGTAAAAGGGGGAGGGAAGATTTGGAAAAATACATACCAAAATGTTAATGGTTATTATGAGAACAAATAGATCTAAATCTTCTCATATTGCAAAATTTGCCACTCTACTAACTTGCCCAAATTTTACTGAACTGCAACTTGCTATGAGGCCGCTAGCTTGTATTACAGGTTATTACAAGAACAACCCACAAACCGTATCTCTGCATCACAGGTGCCTTGAACAGATATCATTACTATTCCTTTTTACGAAGACCTACCCAAGGAGAATGCCCACCTCATCTTTATACCAAACACTGTGTCTGCTCTTATATCACAGACAGGTCAGTATTTCAGGTGCCTTCTGTGTCAGACACCAGAGAGCCTGGGCCTGCATCTGTGACATTCTCAGCATCCCTCATAGCAAATTATCACACTGTGCTTTCAGCCTTATTCCTGGATTCACCCTCCCCTCATTCCTGGCTTTCTTCCTCTGCCTCGCAAACTCACACTATTTCATCATCCCTTTCACAAACAAGACAGAAGACGAATAATATTGTTTTATATTTTTAAAGCTTAGTTATCATTTCTCTGCATTGTTCTTATTTCACGACATGTAACTTACTCATTTGTGTATTTGCTGTCTGTCTCCCCATCCTATCATACTAGAATCCAGGAGGGCAGAGACTTTGTTCACTGCTGTATCCTTAGTTCTAGGATAACGTCTTCAGCTACATTAATAATACTTGCAAAATGGGATGAACATGACAACATACTTATGCCATACTGTTATATAGCAGACCTTTTCTTAAGTGAAAACTGATCTTCAGTCTACATGACCTTTCACATTTTCCTGTTTGTCTGCAAGAGGTCAAATGTACTCTTAGAGACTAAGATTCCAATACTTAGGAATGGTCTACAAACCTACATGAATGACTGACTGGTTCAATCCTGGACCTTATTTCCTATGGAAATACTCTGAAATACAGAAAAGGCACCATGCACAAAGATAAGGATCACATTTATTTATGACAGAAAAAATGTGCAAACAGCAAAATACCCAATGATACGGAAATGTTTAAACAAATAACATTACAACCATATCATGTTACTCATACAACCATTAAATATTATTTATGAAGCTTTTACTATATGCAAAAACACTCATGACATGTTAAATGAAGAAAATCAGAGAACAAAATTACATGTACCCTATAAGCTTAACTTAAAAAAGAAACAACATATATAAAAATATTAATCATCTGCCTCAGAGATAGGCAACTGACATTTTTATTTCTTTACTTTTCTTCTGTGTTTTCCACATTTTTTATAACGTACACATCTTTTACGACGGAAAAATAATTTTGTGACCCAGAGCTGACAAAACTCTTTATACTGTTAAAATCTAAAGAAAATTCTGTTAATATATGACAGGAAAATAAGCACCTTATTTACAACATAAAATAGCAAAACACTGGTAAGTAAAACACATACAGTACCTTCACTGCCACATGAAGTTTTGCTGTTTTCTTGGATGGTCCTGAGGCTTCGTATGTTGTACCATCCACATCGACAGACATTGTGAAGACTGGGGCATGGACGGGGCCAGACTGAGATAAGAGCTTATACTGAAGCCCAGGCCTGATCTGATTTAGCCTCATTAGTGCATTCATAAGGTCTATTGCTTTACTATCCAGAACTGTTAAAGAAAGAAGAGATCAGACATTAAATCATTTCACTTTAATCTATGCATTTGCAGGTCCCAGTGGCTGCTAGAAATTCACCAGATTTTTTAAAAGCAAGACCTTAAAAACACATATAAAAATTAACTTCATAAATAATTATAAAATTAACTTCTTAAATTATTATGCTAACAGCACTGTAAAAGTAATGTGCATTACTATATTTATACATTAACTTCGGTTAGGCAATATCAATATATACTAAGCCAGGGGTTTTCAACCGGTATGCCGCAAGAATTTTTAAAACATGCAATACAGTACCTGACTATTTAGTCAGGGCATGGACCTCTTTTCCCTTACGTTGTCAAATAAAAAAGTGACCGCCAACAGTTCAACAATAGCCGTCCGGTGCGAATAAATCAAAATTATACCTTTTTTGGGGGGGAGGGAGGTCAGATTGGCAAAAATATAATAAATCTTTTGGTTGTGCTGCAGAATTTTAGTAATTAGTTTATGTGTCCCATGTAATGAAAAAGATTAGAAAACACTGTCCAAAGCAATGAAGCTTGGAAACAAAAAAGTTACTCAACCACCAATTTCTCAGTGAAGATCTATCCTAAAAACCCCAATTCAAATCCATCAAATTCTTCACTTTATAATTTTTATTTTCCTGAGAATATAAATCCTTTCTAGTTAATATCTATAAGAATAAAGATTTTACATACTTTTCCTTAAATTCCGTTTCATCTTCTTATTGGGATCTTTATCATCCCCTAATCCATCTTCAAATGGCCTCTTCAGAGCTGAAAACCCAGCACCTAAAGAATTACAAGAGATTCATGATCAGTCAAAACAATGATTCTACTTCCTCTACCAAATGTATCTACTATGTTCAGGAAGGAAAACCTTAAGAATCACAAGGACCACAGTACTCTTCCATTGAACAATTAAATTATTACATTTATAACATTGTAATAGCAAAAACTTTAAAAGTAAATCTTTATGAAACAATTTAATATTATCCCTTTTTATAAATATTTTCCCACTCATTCATACATACAAATACAAACACCTATGCATATATTCACACCTATAGACGCATGAACAGAAAAGGTCTGGATATATATATATATGTATATATATGTGTATATATACATATATATATATCTCAAAATGTTAAAAGTAGTGCTCTCTGGTACTAGGATTTATTTTTACTTATGTCTTTTCAAATATTTCTATAATTTAATATTTATTACCTGTATAAATTTTTAAAGTTCACATGTTAAGTTTTAGGCTTTTGGAAATCTGATTATTTCTCACACTACACAATATTATTCTGTCTGCCTATTCAAATCCTACATAAGATATTATTTACAGTTCTTTTCCAAGACGTTTTCCTCAGCTTTTCTCTCATCTCAACTTTCTAAAAAGTTTCCACGGTATCAGAAACAAAGTGTCACATGTGGTGGTGTGTCATTGGCTACTTCATGTTTCCTTAGTGCTCTATGAAGGGCAAAGGTATTTTGTCCTTGTCTTGTATCTTTAAACTATCACAAGACTTAGAAACAACATAATGGGTGTGAACCATAACTAACTGAACTGACAGTATGCAATTTCTAGGTTAAAGTAGCTAGTTCATAATGCTTTCAGGCATAAGGCTTTGCGGTCCAAGTTAAAACCAATCAGAGAAAAGCTCATCAGCCTGTCCAAGTATTTTCAAAAACCCTGTGTCTTCAACTTAAAAACTGGTTGTTGGTTTTTTCCTAAAGGAAAGTTATGCTCAAGAGATTCATGCCACAAGATTTCCAGATACATCTAATGAAATCTTGTAAGAATACCGACATTCACTACATATTCTCTGATCATCAAGATTTGTTGTCCCTTGGGGCAAACTTTGACTTCAGCACTTGCTTGAGTCAATGCTTACCACTCAGGTCAATAAATCTTGATGTTCTCTGCACAATCTGCTTATATCTGCTTAGCATTGTATTTCATCTACATCACATAAAACCGAACGTGCCAGTCTCCTGGAATGCTGCCTTTAAGAGAGAAAAGTTCAAAGGGAACAAAGTCTACTCAATCATTCAACCACCCATTAAGTTACATTAAAAGCTGCTCCCTGATTGTATGGATATCACAAATGCTTAAATGCACAGATTTCTTCTCTAAATCCCCCAGCCACAGAGAGCTCCATGGATTAAGTTTCATCCCCCCATCCCAGCCACTGTAAAACTGCTGTAAAATCTGGGCTATTTTATGGGGCTAATCATAATAGTAATGGGGTGGGGGTGGGCTTGTTTTATAAAATGAAAGTCATTTTCAACCTCTACAATATCTAGAAATAAGAAGTGATCATTTGAGAAACAACAGTTTTTAAAAATAATATGACAGTGTTTATATGCCTGGCACTGTTCTTAATACCTTAACTTATTTAATCATCACCCTTTGAAGCCTGTACTTTTATCATCCTCATTATAATTTCATTCATGTATTCAATCAGCAACAAATATTGAGAATTTTCTATGTGCAGGATAATTTTAGATGCTGCACATAGATAAAAAAGCAATGTCTCAAAGAGCTTATGCAAGGCAGTGGAAACAATTACAAGTCCTATGGTTTTGAACACAATGAAAAAGAAGAGGCTTATAGGGGAAGAGGTGTTGCCGTTTTATTTGTAGTGCTGCTCAGAAAGGTCAAAAAGATATAGCTGATAAGGCAACCTTTTGATGGAGACTTAATAGTGAGTTATTCACTATTAGGGAACCAGCCCCAGGCAAAGAAAACAGCTGAGTACAAAGGTCATAGACAGAAAGGCCTGAGTGGTTGGGGTGGCCTGACCAGAGGGGATGGTAGCAGAGGAAGAGAGGCAGTAGTTCTCAACCCAAGCTGCCACTGATTCACCAGAGGAACTTCTACATAATATCGAAGTTCCACTTCCAGTATGAGAAAGTAAGTTGGAAAAGCCTTCCTGATGTGAGTTAATTATAAAAGCTGGACAAAATGTAGAATAAAATATGTTCCTGGGCAGTAAAGACTATGGAGTTAGAACTGGGAGATAAAGAAAGCCCTGAACTGGGGGCCACACTTCCTCTAGGGGCATCTTCCAAGTCCAAAAACAGCCAGGAAGAACTGAACAGGCACCCAGGTCTTAGGGAGCAAAATCTGAAGTGTGAGGACCACCAAGAAGGGAAGGCCTGTTAATCCCCCACACTGTGGAACTCATGAGGACTGAAGCCCAGCTTCAAATCACCCCTGAGTGCATTAAAATGACCCAGGATTGCCAATTCCACTAGCCATCTCCAGGAAGCAAGTATGCATCTGCCTTGGGGAAGATATTATTACTCTAGCCTTTAGATTCTCTACAATTGTTTCATTTTATGTCTCCAGCATTCGTAATAACAAGGTACATAAGAAGACAAAATATTATGTTCAAAAATCAGGGGAAAGAGCAGACAACAGAAACAGAAACAAGAGACCCAGATGATGGAGCTTTCAAAAACAAACTTTATTAAAAAATAATTAGAATGCTAAAAATAATAAAAAGTAAAAAAACAAGAAGAATTTCTAGAAGAAAATGTGAAACTATAAAAGAGAAAAAATTATAGAAATAAAAATATAATGTAACAGATACCAGACAATCAACAATGGAGGGAAACTGACACACTCTCCCAGTAATTAAGACAACAAAGACTACAGTACAGGTAGGCATACAAGATTCGAACAACACAATGTACAAATGTAACCTGACATACAAACAACATTCAGACCACCAACTACAAAATGTACACAATTTTCAGACAGAATCATTTACACAAACTAAGTACTGGGACATAAAACAAGTCTCAAAAAATATCAGAGGTTAGAAATCAAACAAAGCATGTTCTCAGATTATAATAGAATAAGTGGAAATTCAAAAATAAAGCAGTAGTTAAAACATCCTCACCTGTCTGGAAATTAAGCAATAACAACATCTAAATAGCTCATGTGTCAAAAAACTGATAATGGAAAATAAAAGATAATTTTAACTAAGTGACAATAAAGATACTAATATGAAAAGAGTGTAATACACATAAATCTGGGCTTAAAGGAAAACTTACAGTCTTATTAGTATATAAAATAAAACAAGGGGCTAGATAAATCAATAATATACTCATCTATCTCAAAAAGTTAAAATAACTGAATTAAACCCAAGGAAGGTAAGTTTATAAAACTATGTTTAAATTGAGAAGAAATGGATAAATTCCTAGAAAAACACAATTTAATAAAAATTCTCACAAGAGGATGACAGTCTTATGTCTATTAAGTAAATTAGATCCATAATTTAAAACCTTCCCACAAAGAAAACCATGTGCTCAAATGGCTTCACTGATAAACTCTTGCAAACATTCAAAGAAGAAATAACATCAATCTTACACAAATTCCTACAAGGAACAAAAAAGGAACAGAGCCCAGCTGGCATAGCTCAGTGGTTGAGCATCAGCCTAGGTTCCAGGAGATCGAGGTTCGATTCCTCATCAGGGCACATGCCTGGGTTGGGGGCTTGATCCCCAGCAGAGGGCATGCAGGAGGCAGTTGATCGGTGACCCTCTCTCATCACTGATGTTTCTCTCTCTCTCTTTCTCTCTCTCTCTCCTTTCCTCTCTTTGAAATCAATAAAAACATATTAAAAAAAAAAAGCAAGTCACTGAAATTTAAAAAAAAAAAGAGACACTTTCCGACTCACTTTATGAAGCCAACATAAACTTAGAGGCAAAACTTGACAGAACATTACAACAAAGAAAAACTGCTGGCCAATCTAACACACAAATATATGTTTTTGTAAAATGCTTACAAAAACCTATGGCAGACTGTTCATACCAGCTTTATTTGTGATAGCCAAAACTGGAAACAAACAAAATTCCCTACAATGGCTCATCCATGCCATGGAATACTACTCAGCAATAAAACTACTGAAACATGCAACGGCTTGGATGGGCCACAAGGACATTACACTGGGGGATGGGAGAGGATATCTCAAAAGATCACATACTGTATAACTCCTTGAAATGACAGTACAGAGATGGAGATAAGTCAGTGGTTTCCAGGGTTTAGGGATGGTTAAGAAGAGAGAGAGGCTGTGACTATAAAGGGGCAGCATGTGGAAGATCTGAGTGCTGATGGAATAGTTCTGCATCTTGATTGGGAAAATAAGGTTACACAAACTTGCACATGTAGTTAAATGGCATAAAACATACATACACGGTATCAATGTCAAGTTCTTGATTTTTATATTGTACAGTACAACAATATAGTAAGAGAAACTCACTGAAGGGTACATGGGAACTCTCTGTGCTAACTAGGCAACTTCCTGTGAGTCTACATTTTAAGATAAAAAGTTAAGGAAAAAAAGAACTACTGCTTGTGGAGAACAGACAACCAGGGCAAGGTCAGAAGCAGAAAGATCAGTCAGAAAAGTTACTATAATAACCCAGGTGAGAGACGATGGCAGCTTAGGACAGGATGGCCGCAGGGAAGACGTTAAAGAAATAGCTGAGTTCTGGACATACTTTGAATGTAAAACTGACAGGTTTATTGATGATTTGGATATGGAGGGAAGAAAGAGAGGCCTCAAAGGTGAAGGTTTTTGCCTGAGCACATAGGATAGAGTTTCCAATGGCTGGGACAGTGATGACTATGGAAAGAACAGAGAAGAGGTAGCATAAAAACAGAAATTTGTATTTTAGAAATCTTAAGTTGGAGATGGCTGTCAGACATCCATGTGGAGAACTGAGGAGGCATCTGGATAACTGGGTCTGAGGTCAAGGGCTGGTAGTCTGGAGTGGAAATATAAATTTGGCAATCTTCAGTAAACAGAAGGTATTTCAAGACAAGAAACTGAGACTTCCTAAAGAGTCTGTATAAAGAGGAATGATCTGAAGTCTGCACCCTGGGACACTTTAATGTTCAGAAGTCAGGAAGATGGGGAACAACAAAGACAGCTGAGGAGAGGGCAGTGGGCTAGAAGAACTAAAAGAAAGTAATGACCTAGAAGTCAAATGAGAAGTAGTATCTCTTGTCAGAAAAACTGTCTTCTAACACCAGATGTCACTGAGGATATAGAGCAACAGGAACTTTCACACACTGCTGGTGGGAGTATAAATGCTCATAGCAACATTGTGGTGGTTGCCAAAAGGTGAAGAGAACCCAAATGTCCTTCCACGGTAGAATGGATAAGTTGTAGTATATTCATCATGGATACCATATATATAGCCATTAAAATGAACAAACTGTAGCTATATGCAGCAACATAAATATATCCCAAACAATGCTGGACAGAAAGCAGTCAGTCCCAAATTATTAAACTCAGTACAATTCCTTTTCTATAAAGTTGGTAGGCAATATCAAATTAAATTGTTTAGGGAAACATAGGCAGGTGGGAAAGCCATAAAGAAAATCAATGAAATGATTATCAAAAAGTTCTCAGCAGGGAGGTGATGTGGAGTGATAAACATATGGCTTCTGAGAAGCTGACCATGTTTCTTAACCAGAGTGGTGATTATATGGTAATATCTATCAATACTGAGCACATCAGAAATTAAACCAAAAAAATTTTAATGAAAGAATATACAAAAAACATTCCATTAGCCATCAAAGTTGATGATGCCATCACATGGCATATGCAGCCTCTGGAAAACTCTACACTCATGAAAGTGGAAAAGACAAAAACAAAACAACAACAAAAGCCTTAGTGTTATTATGAAACAGTTTTGATCTTGTGAACTCCCTGAAAAGTCTTTAGACCCAGTGGAACTCTGTTGTCTAAATAAATATATTGGCCTAGTGCACTATTTTTGTCATATAAAAATTACAAGAATAATATCAACTGTGGAAGTAGGTCAGGTCCCAGGTGAAAAATGACTGGCGTTAAACAGCCCGCCTTTTAGTGTAACAGGAGATAAACGGCGGTGGAGAGAATGTTTTATGACTGGAACCCAGGTCATACTGACCCCAAAGCCTGTGCTCTTTCTGCTGAAACTCTGAGTTCAAACAGGCTAGTACAAATGGAAGGTACTCCTGAATTTTCCAATATACTTTTCCTTTATATTTTGTCTTCTCTTTCTTGGTTACGAAATGCTTCCAAGCACAGTGATACATCGCCTAGTTTATGGCTTATCTCTTCTGTTAGACCAGGGGTTCAGAAAGTATGGTCCCTTCATCTATGCAGTAACAGAATCTGGCCAATATAATCAACTGAGTTCATCACTAATAATAGCAAGCTGATGTCATTGATGGGACAGAAAAGCAGAAAGTCAGGTAAAAAAGCAATAAACGTCCTTATACATGGCTTAGATTAACAATTTTTTTAAATTAGGGTATAACTGACAGACATTATATTAGGTTCAGGTGTACAACACAATGTTTCGGTATTTGTCTATATTGTGAAATGATCACCACTGTAAATCCAGTTAACAGCGAATTAACAATTAAGTTCCCTCAACTCTAACAAGAGATGCATCCCATGACCATCTCTACCACTGCCCATGTCTAACACCAATAAAAATGTTCACACTCACCTTCTTTATCAGTAACTGACCAAGAGTATTTCTGGAAAGGCTTACTAGATGGAAGGGGGTCCATCTCCAGCACTTTATAAATCTGGCCAAAGGCTGACAGTCTTAGTGCATGCTGAAGAACAAAAGATTATATTCATTCAAACTTCAACAGCCATTTATAAAGCCCTTAAAACATCTTAGCTAAAAAGACTATTCATTAAATGCTAATGTTATGATGGAAAAAGTCCCTTTAACAACAGGCAAAAAAAAGTGTGTTTAAATAGAACAATTCAAAAAATAACGTGATGATATCCCTCTAATAGAACACAGTGACATGCCCCATCTTCTACCTGGGCACTGTGGGTAATATCTTCTTTTTGCTGGATGGTCAAATAGCTCAGAGCATCTGTTGGGTCTCGCTCACAAGGATCATGAAGACCAGGACCCCCTTTGGCAAAGGCAAAAGAAAGCCACAAGTACTGTTTAGAACGGAGTTTAGAATTCAATAAACTAACACAAAGAGAGAAAAGGAAGGAAGAACTGAGGGGAAAAACTGAGAAATGACATCTGTTTAATTAAATGGAGTAAAAAGGATACTCTCGTTTTCAGTATGTTAGCACCTAAATGTCCTCACCTTACTGGAAGTCACTTATATATCTAAGGTCAAAATTGGGTCTTACTCTGAGAATTTAGACACAGCATGATAAATCATCCCAAACCTTTAAAGGGATTACATGTGAAAAATAAGACCAAATTTAATTTTTTCAAATTAAACACCAGAGTGCAAACAGAGTGAACTTCATACATCTTAACCAAACATCTGCATTTTCAAGTTCAGAGCTCTAGGTAAAGCAAATTCATAGCAGACACAATATCTTATTAGTACCGTTTATGTTAGTATATATAAAATATAAATTACATTTATTGAAAGATAGTTTTATAGTATTTTCCAATACACACATATCCTAGTCGCTAAAATTCCAAGTAAAACAACTCCTACACATCACTTTCCTGTGCAGAGGACAAATTTAACAAATATTTAGGAAAGTAAACCAAAATGAGATTTTTCTGATTCTTCTGCCTTGGGAGTTTGAAACCCTTACCAGGAAGTAGTATTCCAGATGCCAAACACTCCATTACTCGTCTCAAGGCCTCCCCAGCGCCCAAAGGTCTATTACAAGTACCTATAGACTTTTCACATATAAGCTCTAGTGGCTAGAAGATATTAAATTACAAATTAGTACATGCATCAAGTGTTAAAAGGATTCCAGTTAAATGTGAGCTGACATTTCTATCTACAATGAAGGCCAAAAAGATGAAAGTCAATTTATCATTCGCAGCCCAATTAACTTTTCCCCTTTGATTATCAACTTTTACCCCAGCTAGTGTTCTTAAATCAACCATTCTAAGATAATGTATTCAGATGACATTTTGTTACAAAAACTTTATTTTCAGTGAAAAGATCACTCAGGAAATTGTACACATCTAACTGATTTAACAAAAATATAATAAGCCTTCGTATAAGGTAGTAATAGCTAATCACTAATCGATATTCAAGCCCAACCCACCTATCTCCCACATAACCTAGGAAGCACTCAAACAACAATAAGACTTCATTTCAGACAGCCTGCCCCAGGGCCTACAATTAGAATAAACAAAGAACCAAAACTCCATATTTAATAAATTATAATTGATGATACTATATGAAAGCAATAACCACTAATTTAAAATGACCCTTTACAGCTTTGTTTTATAATGTTCTTAATTGTGGTCTTGAGTAGGTCAAGCATAATAATTTCCAAATTAAGTAAGTTCTGCAACATACACTATGTCCATAATCAGGTTAAGTGTGCTGTTTATCTGACTTTAATTACTAAATTTATTTCTGTAACATGAATTATGATAAGGTTAGAGACAAGTTATATTCATAAAAAAGTATTCATATGAAAAGATGCATAAATTTTTTCCAGAATAAAAATAGGCAATGCAATACCTTAGCTAACTCAGAATATAGCTATTTCAAAGTAATAAGGTAATTTCTGCAGGATTTCCTCTGACTATAGCTTCAGAGTTTGCTTTTAACTGTACTTAAGTACTTACCCATCCTTTTAATGGTGCCCATGTGGGAACTCTGTTGCACAAATCACGCAGAATGCGAAGGACAATGACACATGATTTTAATCCATTTGCCCTTGCCTAAAACAAATAAAATGATTCCAATATCCCTGCTGAAATCCATTCTTCATTTAAACACACTGATCATGGATAGGCTCTTTAAAGTGAATACTAATTAGTCATTCATTCATCATTTGTCAAACATATTTAAAAAATCAAGGTATTAAAATAGTAAAATTATAATTCAGAAAGGCACATTTTAAAGGAAGCATCTTATTAAAATTGCTTTTATAGCCTCACAGCAACCCCACTCTGGACCACTATCTTAAATTTTAATTTTCTCACCCATGTTTGTATTTTCTAAGGCATCATTTGAAATTCAGAGTACTAAGCTGAAAAGGACTATATTATCATTAAACATCAACTATAATAGAAGCTATGCTAGACACTTTACCTAAATTAACTTATTTACTCTTACAATGACCCTATGAGGTAGAGTACCCCCATTTTATACTTTACACAGAAACCATTAAGTGGCAAGTATTCCAAATGAAGCCTATACAAGGCTATACTAACAGTAAGATAATAACAAAGAGCCAACCTGAAACCATTTGGCATGTCGAAGAGACGCCAAGGCGTTCAGGCATTTCTGCCTGTCCAATAAGTCCGGAGGATCTTTCATCGCAACCTTTTCTAATGGGAAAATGGGATAGAGAAAGACACATACAATTTGACCAAGGAGTTCCTGTCAAATTACCAAACAATAAAAATTTTTAAAAGAGCAGCATTTGAGTGAACTAATAAGACTCCCAGAAGATTTCATGATTTGGTTGTTGCTTTTTAAAAAAGTTACATGCACTATGATTACTTAAGTAAAAAGTCATCAGAGCCATTCTGTGCACAAGTACAACAGGAGCACAAAGGCATTCATTCATTCAGTAAACAAATCAATGATCACTGCTACATACAGTCTGGGATCTTATTAAGCATGTGTAACATCAAAGGGCACAAAATAGGTACATAGCACTTTTTCCTTTGGCAGGGTGCAAACAGTGCAAATCTGGGACCAACAGCAATAACAACTATTCTTTATAGAAGGAATTTTAATCACTAATCAATTCTTAAGGAAAACTGGGGCTCTTTTATGTAATCAATTTGAGATATACTAAGAATGCACTGCATGTGGCAATTTTATTTTTTCACAACTAAATAAACTCATCCAACAAGATAACCATTAATAGAAACTTTACCCCATCGATGAGAACTGTTCAAGTGTCACCTTGGAGTTCCCTCATTATTTCTTTTCTAACTCAAAATTATCAAAACTACAAAAGTGAAATATATTGAAATGTATTTCAAGTTTTATATTATATATATATATTTTTTAAAGACAGCAAAGAATACTATCTAATTACAGCTATTTGACTTGCCTTAACATTTTAAAGTTGGATTAGATGGACCAAAGCAGCAAAATTAAGAATTCAAACATGTGATTAATGAAAAATATCCATATTAGAGAAAATATCACATGATACTAAATCCAAGTTTAGAGAGCCAAATACATTCCCTCTAACCTACTACAAAAAGTAGGTTTTTCAACTTTTTGGGGACTTGGTACATTATTTAAACACAAACAACATATACAAATGTTTCTTGGGGAGAAATTTTGTCTAATCCAATTAAGTCAGATTCACATTCTCTTTTAAGAACCCTTAGAGGTAGGAAAGTCCACCAATACGTTTTCCTAGCATAATCATGATAATCAGACTTGGTAGTATGCTGTGTGGGCCAATTGATACAATGTAAATTTTTTAAATAAGAGACAGATAACTGATAATTTTTGCTTTCCTCATTTACAAGATCCATCATGACAAATTTACTATATATTCAAATTGGTAGCTTGCCATTAACTAAAACTGAAGGCATAAGCCCAATAGAAAATAAATCTATCAGAGGAAGAACCGGGGTTCTCCACAGGCTGCAACACTCTGAAGGCTGAAGTGCTACACACTTATTTTCTGACCCAGTGAGCTCTACACCAGATATTTGCATTGTTTCACATTAACCTCTGCCAACAAATTCACAACACAGGGCCTCATCTCATTACCCCTTTTACTCAAAAAATGGGCAGCATCAAAAAGAAGGGTTAATGTGGAGTCATTTATAATCATAAACAAATATATTATGGGTTTTCACTTCACAGGGAATCTAGTTCCTGGACTTGCTCAATTTTGTCTTTATTATGACAGAAAACATACAACTAACTCATTTTAATGTTATGTTGAAATGTTTAACTGTAGTCAATGCAAACATCTGGGTAAAGCTCACATACAAGATCAAGCAAACTACAATAAATGAATTAGAATCTCTTAAAAGTTAGACATGACAAAGGTTGACTGACTGCTAAGTAATGTAATCCCCCCCAAAAAGGTATGGGCTGTACTTATTTTTTAAAATCTCAATCTTTAAGTTAAGAATAAGGCAAGCTTAGTTTTATTCTATCATCTTATCAAGTAGGAGTGTTGGAAAAGATTT